ATTACAAAGAATGTACAACTCATTAAAACCTATTAAAGCTCAAAAGCTAATTGTCTATAGACTTACAATGTTAATTTATATCAAAATAGTGGGCATAGCTGCCTTTAATATTGAATGTTAAATTAAATGAGGTAACAGCAATACATTAACAATAAAACTAATAGAATGTCATTAAGTATAAGTAATATCCTTTGTGCAACTGTTAAGTAGTAACAAACTCATTGTATTGCATGAAAATAAAGAAGATGAAGCACTTTATAATAATGTAGCAACCCCATTGATATCAAATTGTCAAATTCTTATAATGATGGTCAGATTAAGAAAATTTAAATACTAATTTAGTGCTTTTTTATGACAATGCCACAGGAAATGCTTGTTTAGAAAGCAAATGTAAACCATGGGCCCCTCCAAAACTGACATAACGATTTGATTGCCAAATTTTCCTATCAAACATGTGATACAGGGTGTTGTTTCTTGATGGCTCACAATAAGATGCATATCACCTTCTATTAGTTCATTTTGTCAGCTGATTATCATATTTTATTTCATCACTGTCATTAAGCATCATCCTCATCAACAGAGTTGAAAATAGTTTGTAACAGCTGTAACTGCCACTTATATTTTGTACTTGTGCTGTATCTTAAAGCTGTTATAACAATTGCAGTGATTGGTGTTGTATGAATTTAGTGTAACTAGAGGTAACTGTAAATCACTGTAGCAGTCATTGTGAAAGTAGCTGTTGTAGTAATGGTAACGTTTGTGATGAAGTGATAGCTGTTTTAGTTACAGAATTATAATATCTGTCATATTTTGCTGTTCAGATTGGAATATTCGTCCCTACGGGACCCGCCCATGGGTGTGTTCCAGAAGGACAGATATTCTGATCCTTCAACCGAAAACATGTGTCAGTTATTTTTTCTTGCATAATCTACCATATTCAATCATATTTTAAATACTTTATCTTAATAAAACAACTTTCCATGGAAGTTAATGTCATTACACCCGTAACTAATTTCTTATAACTGCGTATGAAATTACAACTTCATTCCATTCGGCAAAGTCATATCATCCTTAGAATGCCATTGTATAGCATGTGACTCATCTGGCACCCCCCATGATAAACGAAATTTCAGGAATGGGTAAAATAGTGGTCTTAGTAGTGACTTTCACTATCATTGCTACAGAATCTTCAGTTAATACTACTACTATGTGATATCATAGTAAACTGAAGATACTGTAGCTAAGTAAAGGAAGCTATGTGGTTGACTATTAGCTGAAGATACTGTAGCAGCTATAGTGATATAGTTGTAATTATTGATAATTTAGTGGTTGTAGTACTAAAGCAGTGATAGTGATACAAATGTAAGTATTAAAAGTGTAATCAAAGAAGTATATTTCATGTAGTTTGCTGTTGATACTGTAGCAGTTATATTGATAGTATTGAGAGACTAGTGGAAATGTTAGCTGTGAATACTTCAGCATTGATAGTTTGGATTGTTTGTTTTGTCACCTGGACACTGTAAAGGTTACATGGCAACTTCTAGCGTAAAATGGTAAAGGAAGACCATCATGCACTATTTCAGGCACATTTGGGACACCTAAGTATACTTTCTCAAATGAAAGAATATAAAGTTCCTTATGTAATTTGAACCCACAGTTGTGAGGTTGAAGTGTTTTGAAGCTGGCCATCTTAACCAACTTACTATATGGGATCCCCTAGAAGTGATAATAATAGTAGTGTTACACCTGTGTTAGCTGTTGATACTTTAGCAATGACAGTTATTGTAGAGTTAGACTTGAAGAATTTTTAGCTCTTGATTCTGCTACAGTGATTTCTTTCAGTAAGAATTGTGGAATTGTTAGCTGGAATTGTTGCAGTGACATTGATTGAGGAGTTGGACTTGTGGAATTGTTGCATGTTGATACTATAGCAGTGACAGTGATTGTAGAGTTGGACTTGTGGAATTGTTAGCTGAAGATACTGTAGCAGTGGCAGTGATTGTAGAGTTGGACTTGTGGCATTGTTGCATGTTGATACTGTAGCAGTGGCAGTGATTGTAGAGTTGAACTTGTGGCATTGTTAGCTGTTGATACTGTAGCAGTGGCAGTGATTGTAGAGTTGAACTTGTGGAATTGTTGCATGTTGATACTGTAGCAGTGGCAGTGATTGTAGAGTTGAACTTGTGGCATTGTTAGCTGTTGATACTGTAGCAGTGATGGTGACTGTAGAGTTGGACTTGTGGCATTGTTGCATGTTGATACTGTAGCAGTGACAGTGATTGTAGTGTTAGACTTGCGGAATAGTTGCATGTTGATACTGTAGCAGTGATAGTGATTGTAGTGTTAGACTTGCGGAATAGTTGCATGTTGATACTGTAGCAGTGATGGTGATTGTAGAGTTGGACTTGTGGCATTGTTAGCTGTTGATAATGTAGCAGTGGCAGTGATTGTAGAGTTGGAATTGTGGCATTGTTAGCATGTTGATACTGTAGCAGTGACAGTGATTGTAGAGTTGAACTTGTGGAATTGTTGCATGTTGATACTGTAGCAGTGACAGTGATTGTAGAGTTGAACTTGTGGAATTGTTGCATGTTGATACTATAGCAGTGACAGTGATTGTAGAGTTGGACTTGTGGAATTGTTGCATGTTGATACTGTATCAGTGGCAGTGATTGTAGAGTTGAACTTGTGGATTTGTTGCATGTTGATACTGTAGCAGTGACAGTGATTGTACAGTTGGACTTGTGGAATTGTTAGCTGTTGATACTGTAGCAGTGACAGTGATTGTAGAGTTGAATTTGTGGAATTGTTAGCTGTTGATACTGTAGCAGTGACAGTGATTGTAGAGTTGAACTTGTGGAATTGTTGCATGTTGATACTATAGCAGTGACAGTGATTGTAGAGTTGAACATGTGGATTTGTTGCATCTTGATACTGTAGCAGTGACAGTGATTGTACAGTTGAACTTATGGAATTGTTGCATGTTGATACTGTAGCAGTGGCAGTGATTGTAGAGTTGAACTTGTGGAATTGTTGCATGTTGATACTGTAGCAGTGACAGTGATTGTAGAGTTGGACTTGTGGAATTGTTAGCTGTTGATACTGTAGCAGTGGCAGTGATTGTAGAGTTGAACTTGTGGAATTGTTGCATGTTGATACTATAGCAGTGACAGTGATTGTAGAGTTGAACTTGTGGAATTGTTGCATGTTGATACTGTAGCAGTGGACAGTGATTGTAGAGTTGGACTTGTGGAATTGTTAGCTGTTGATACTGTAGCAGTGGCAGTGATTGTAGTGTTGAACTTGTGGCATTGTTGCATGTTGATACTGTAGCAGTGACAGTGATTGTAGAGTTGAACTTGTGGAATTGTTGCATGTTGATACTGTAGCAGTGACAGTGATTGTAGAGTTGGACTTGTGGAATTGTTAGCTGTTGATACTGTAGCAGTGACAGTGATTGTAGAGTTGGACTTGTGGAATTGTTGCATGTTGATACTGTAGCAGTGACAGTGATTGTAGAGTTGGACTTGTGGAATTGTTAGCTGTTGATACTGTAGCAGTGACAGTGATTGTAGAGTTGAACTTGTGGAATTGTTGCATGTTGATACTGTAGCAGTGACAGTGATTGTAGAGTTGGACTTGTGGAATTGTTGCATGTTGATACTGTATCAGTGACAGTGATTGTAGAGTTGAACTTGTGGAATTGTTAGCTGTTGATACTGTATCAGTGGCAGTGATTGTATAGTTGGACCTATGGAATAGTTGCATGTTGATACTGAAGCAGTGACAATGATTGTAGAGTTGGACTTGTGGAATTGTTGCATGTTGATACTGTAGCAGTGACAGTGATTGTAGAGTTGGACTTGTGCAATTGTTAGCTGTTGATACTGTAGCAGTGGCAGTGATTGTAGAGTTGGACTTGTGGAATAGTTGCATGTTGATACAGTTGCAGTGACAGTGATTGTTATTTGGTTTTACATTAGAATTGAAGAACATAATTCCTTCCAGTATCTGTTTTAGTGATTATCTTATGGTAATCAACTAAAACTTCTGTTTATGATCACAATTACACAAAAAATCCATTATTTTAGAAACTGAATGCAATAATAAATATGTAGAAACCTAAATTAGTCTTAGAATCTTATAAACTTTAATATTATTTTCCTTTAAGATGAAAGTATCTGGTTAATATGGTCGAATGTCACTTATTTATCAGGCAAGTTTTAAATGACCATTTACTGCGAAAAAGGTCCAAGTGAATTTTTTTTTTTAATTTATATTATTTTCTTTCCAATTCTATATTCAGAATAGTAAGTAATGATTAAACTTATTCTGTATTGAGCATTTCTGTCTAAATAGGGTGTTTATTTCCTGTTTTCCGTCACTTAGACTTTTTTCGCATTTACCAAATTTGTGATATTTTGACAAATATTGAGTGCGAAAAAAGTCTAAGTACATTTTTACAAATATAATCTTTTTCTTTCATTTTTTTTTTCAAGTAATTTTTTTAAATGTACAATATAACTGATTTTCATTTCAGAGTACACAAATGATAATTATATATATAACCTGAAAAAAACAGGACAGTTTTTTGTCTCTCCTGAAAAATTTACAGATATGCACTTAGACTTCTTTCGCTTTCACCCCTCGATATGCGGATCTTAAATATTGACGTGTCGCATGTTAAACTTGTTGGGACACCGAGAGTAGCTCCACTTACCTACCCGAGAACGATTTGTAAACAACCTTGCTGAACAGTAAGTCTTACAGACATAAAATAAAACATTTTTTGGCAGGTAGTTGCAAAAAGAAATGATACTCATTGCAGGCAGATTCGGGTTGCCTTTTAGGGGGAAATTTCAGCTTTGATGGTGGAAAAAACATAACTATTTTGAGGGGGGGAATGGGGCCAAATTTCGCCGAATATTTTGGTGAAAAAAACACTGGCTACTATTGTGTGTTTTTTGGAATGTTTTAAACATGAATTTTACTTTAAACAGAAAAACTTCCCTGAGAAAAATGACAAGAAAACTCCCAGTCCTCCAGTGTTGCTGAAGGGCCAATTTGGATTGCCTTTGACTGCAAACATGATAGACGAGAACTGTTACCAACAGCAGAAACAGGAGGAGGTACCAGTGTTTCAACCAATGAAAAGCAACCCTCTGAAGTTCCGCTGGATGCCAAGTGGCTGGTGCTTTAGACATTTCAACAGGAAGCCATGTAGTGTACAGTGCAGTTTTAGGCATGATGTTCCATCGCCGGTAATGATATACAGCATTTGAGTCACCTCATGACAAAACCAACATAATGGGTTTTCGATCAGCATGGATCCAGACCAGCCTGTGCATCTGCGCAGTCTGATCAGGATCCATGCTGTTCGCTTACCAACTCTATTACAAGTATAAAAAGTGATAGAAAACAGCACGGATCCTGATCAGACTGCGCGGATGCGCAGGCTGGTCTGGATCCATGCTTGTCCCAAACCCATTATGTTGGTTTTGTCGTGACGCGGCACATTTATGTTCCTCACACTGTTTAGGGATATATTTAGGAAATAGATTATAATTTGGAGTGGGTATTTGTAGAAAGATTTAATTTTAAATACACACTAATATAATTTATGAAAGTCTGTAGCCCAAAGTGATCAATTACAAAATATTTGAACAATAAATTTTGTATTATTATACTACAATATAGAAAAATCATGAACATTAATTAACATGCACATTAATATCTAATAGAAAGAGAATTAAAAAAATAGATGTTGAGGTACATTTAAGCAGAGACATAATTTTCATGAGATCATTTATGTTATGTCATCTTCAATTTTGCAGGATGTTCTTAACAGATGCATGCCTGATATTATCAAACAATGCAGAAAAGGAGAATTAAATGGGTATCTTAATTTACTATTCATATGTCAAGGTTGAATTTCTTTTACAGTTACAGTACTTCATACAATATAAAGTCCAATGTACACTGACTTCAAGGGGTGTCCATGGCAAAGAAGTTAAGGTCATTCACTTTAAACCCCTTACTGTCGTTATTCTTTCTTACTGTTGAAGATTAGAATTCTTTCATGTTTGGAAGCTATCCAGCTAGCTTACTGAACATTAGTGGTTTTACACAAGTTCCTTTTCATGTCTGAACTAACGCATGGTCCAGTAAAGTTGTTGGTGTGACTTAAATCACTTAAATCCCAACAAAAAAAAAAGAAGAAAAAAAAGCCCACTGCCTTTACATGACTTTGTTTCCTGTGGGTTTTTATCTTTAAAGTTATGTGCATGTAATTCTATTGTATGAAAAGGTTATAAATGTAGGGTAGCTTAGGGTTGGTTATGTTGAGTTGTGCCTGAAATAATGCATGGAACTTAATCTGCGATTTTCATCAATTGTTTAAGCTGGAAAGTTGCTTCATGACCTTTCAGTTAACAGCATTGTTTTACTAACAGCATTGCTTTACTTGAATTCTAATTATGAAAAGAAAATAGTATTTGAAATATCAATTGGTTCTTTGATAGGTTGATACTTGTTGCAATGTTGTCAAGATTCAGAATATTATATTGTAGTTAAATTTCATGAAATTAAAAGGGAAGTATTTTAAATATTTTGTCTATTGGCAGTGCTATGAACATGTTGGAGAGTCAGAGTTATTTCCAGACGAATATATCAGAAGATGACCTTGACTGTCTCTATGGTTACAGTGTCAATCATCTAAAGATGGAGTTCTGTCATAGCCTCCTACAACTTATAGCCACCAGAAAACTCGTCAAACAAGGGTAGGTGTTATAAAGATATCATTCTTCACTGGTTTGAATTCTTTTCTTAAATGAAAAAGAAAAAATACTTCATATACATTTGAATAGACAATTCTTGACTTAACATCACTGGTCATTTTATATGCCCAAAATAATTTTGGCTTATAATGTTCTGCACCCGGTTGTCTTTTCATCCGTCTGTTAACTGGTTTCATGTCCAGTCTGTATCTGATAAACTGGTGAAAGGAAATTGAAACTACTTAGCAGAAAAGATAACCATAATAACATGATGTGCAGAGCACAGGTTTGACCTTTCTCAGATCTTTAAATTTTAATTACTTAAAACTAATTGCCTTTGGGTGTAAATTGCCATGCCTATGTGATGCTATTGTTAAGATATTACTGATATCTTGTTGTTATGTTAAGATATTACTTGTATCTTGTTGTTATAAGCTGTAAATGTATAATATGTGAAGGTTATTATTAGCTCTTGATCTGCTAAATTTGTATAATGGATTTGCCCAACTTCGAATTTACTGAAAGTTTCAGTGATTTCAATATCAAAATACAAAAATTGCCAACAGACATGAAGCAAAAAGATATTTCATCCATACTGCAAATGAGTGATTATAGGAAACTGTAAAAAGATACCAAAAATAAAAAGTTTTTGAGCAATAAAAATTATATGTCTGAGGCATAATAGGCCTTTGATATTGATTCCCTCGCTTTAACAGTGGTCAGTTACAAATGCAAAGCAGCACAAATTTTATCAATGTAAGGGTTTATATAAAGTATTTCATTTTGTTTCAGTCACATTGATGATATCATCTATTTATGGAAACGTTTGATGTACAGTGAAGATGTCAAACCGTTGAATGATGCCTTCTATATAGCAAAAGAGAACAAGTTATTCCCCAACCCCAGAGCAGTTTTGATAATGCTAGAGTATGTACTGAAAAAATCTGACATGTCTTCTTACACTTTTTATTTATAACTTAATTTAGTTCCTTATGTTTTACATTATTATTTTATTCTTAAAATTACATTGTTTTGACTTAAAAATCTTCATCTAGTGTCTGTACAGTATTGTCAAAATGTATTATATAATTGGGCATACTGAACCATTTTGCAGGATCTTAATGGAATGTTCTACTCAGGTGCCTGTTTGTGCCTGAAATAATATACAGAGGGGCACATCAGGTCTTCCTCTTCCAGTAAAGCTGGAAAGTCGCCATATGACCTGTTCTGTGTTGGTGCAGTGTAAAACTCAACCAAAAAAAAATAAATATATATATGTAACATTATTCTGATGCGGACAAAACAAAAAAAACAAAAAGTTGAAGACCATTAGATATTAGGCTTTAAGTTTATGAATGGTTTGTGGTGCCTGCTCCTGTCTGGAATTATGTCCATCCTACACTTATTAAAAGCCATCTGATCTTTACTGCTGATGTGACTTAAAGTCAATTGGATATGGTGGCATTTTTAGCCATATATGAAAGTTTGATTATTTCAGGGCATTTTCAGCAACATACGGTGATGTATACATTATATGGGATGTGATAACATACTGCACAATGAACAAGGACTACATTATACCAGAACAGTTCATCAATAAAGCCGTTTTGATGCTAGTCAAGTGTATGGATACCTACGTTTTGTCGGCAGCTGTCAACTGGCTGCAGAAAACCTCGCCAGAACAACAATCAAACATAAATGAAGAGGTATATTTAAAAGAAGAATATGCTGTATAATCTATATCTATCACTGACTTTTATTTTGCTTTTTTTTTAAGTCGCTTGTAATGACCTGGATGATGGGGAGGGGATGGGGGATTGTTTTGTGATCTTGGGTGTTGGTATATTTTGTCTGGGCTGTAACTTCTATTTGAGTGATTGTAAAATGACTTGGTACAAATGTTAAGACGATGTGTTACAAGTAAAAAAAAACAACAGAATTATATAGCCTTAAATTCATACGTAGAAAGCTTTTCTAGACTGTAAACTTGATTTGAATTCCGGGATTCTTAAATATTTATCAACAATCGGGTCCTATTACAGTAAAGAAATTCACATTTGATTTGGTGATTTTGTTATAACTTACGATAAATACTTAGTATGATGTGGCAGTGTGTCGCGCAAAGAAATCCCTATGTGAAGCTTTAAGATCAAAAACAGTGGTCCTTGCTTGTAGCGAACTCGGAGGCAGTGAAACTTGATTATAAGAAACATTTCTGCTGGATCCCCATCGTCCTCCTATTTTATCTTATATAAAATCTTGTGTTTATAGCGAACTTGCTGATAGCCTAAGCTCTGTTATAAAACACTACATTTTCAGATCCCACTCAAGCATTTACCTCTTTTACTGATATATAACTTTTTCTTTTCAGACTTTATCAACATTTGCCAACAGTTTGCAAAAGAGATATATGTTGAAATTAGCTGGTTCAGTAAGACAGTGTATTGGGCATAAAAAATGTAATAATGACAAGGAAGAACAGCAAAATTTACCAAGGTCAAACCTCAAGTCAAATAGTACAAATGCAAATGTTGCACTTCCTGAAGATAATAAGAGAACTTCTAATGTGCAGTCAAGACCTGTTACTAGGTCTTATTTTGAACTTATGAACCAGACTACTGGGAATCAACAGACTGGTATACAACAGGAGAATTTGAATCAAAATCATGCAGGGGCAGTTACTCAAGTCGGGCATGACTCAGCGAATTGTTCTAGGCTGAAACCCAAGCAGCTGTTAACAAGTCGATTAAAATCAAGAAGTAACAAGCAGCCAGAAAGGGACTTTGTAAAGGTTGACAGTGAGGGACAGAGAACAGTGACATTGTCAAACCCAACAAGGGCAGTAACTCCAACCAATGTGAATAATTTAGGTCCTTTAGTAAGTGGAGAACAGTCCGGGACTGAGCAAGATATCTTAAATGACATAAAGGTAATAAAGTATGAATCTTGATCCAGTTTTTTATATGAAAGTTAATAATTTACCATTTCATTTTTGGAAACTGTAAGTGGTTACGTATTGGTTTGATTTGTCACAAGAATTAATTGTATTTTTATCAATATGCTAAAAAATGTACATTTTTGTAGTTGTACAAGATCTTAAAATCACTTGTTATAATGGTTCCTTTATGGATGAACAGTGAAGACTTGACTTTAGATAACTTCAACTTCATCTCTGTGGTTATGTATTCGGCTCAGGAAATAGAGGTTTTATTTGTGAGGAGACTATAAAGTAGATGTTTGCCCACCTAGCTCAGTAGGGAGAGCATTAGATTTGTAATCCAGATGTCACTAGTTTCATCCTTTTATGCAGTTTTCCTGTGACATAAAATCTTGGACATTTAGTCTAATGGTTATTTGTCTCTCACCACTGATTTAGAAATCATGATAAATCAGTCACTTGCAGAGAAATTGGTAATTACTGGTTTATAGTTATCCGGGAAAGCCAGAAAATGTTTCATTGCCAAGATATGACCAAAAATTTGTGAAAATTTGCTTATAATGTACAAAAACAGACTATAAAGTAGCTTTTCAGACTTTTGACTAAACTGCTTATCTTTGAGTACACTAACAGAGAGATAGCTAAAGATTTTTCTTCAAAATACAAATTTAAAAGTCGCAGTGTGGCATTATATTTGGACACATGACTATATCTTCTGTCAGGTACATTTGTACTCAACATGGAGAATCAAAACTTCAAAAATTTTATTTCCAGCATGCCTTTGATATAAGTGATTGGCAGGGATTGGCAGATATGTTTCTTCTATGCTGTAAGAATGGCAGAATATCACCGGAAGTGCTTGAACAAGTACAACTGGCCCTCACCACACATCATACAAATATTGGAGATGTTTGGGCAAAGTTCATTGACCATATTAAACAAAGTAAATTTTGATATTTATTTACTCTTGATTATTTCATGTCTGATACATAGGTATTGAGACCTTTGGAAATATTCCTTACCATGCTAAATATCTTAAATAAACTTGACCATAATATATTTCAATTGTGGTAAAAACCATTCTCCATTTTAAGAGTTTTAAAAAACATTTACTGATTGAATAATGTACAGTGCTGATAATGATCAGATGGCATGGATGTGCTGACTTATCTTGGTCAGCACTGGTCACTTGGGTAGACTCAGTTGCCACCAGTAGGCTGAAGGTTAACATCTGGCAGTTGGGAATTCATTTGAGAATACAACAGTTACACAGTATTATTGAAAGTGTCTGGGTTAAAATGATTTGTGGATTTCTGAGGATTTGACACAGTTGGCGTTACATGCAAATAGCAAAGAAACTTGAGATTATGGAGTATAAGCTTTCACCATTTGCTTAGAAATAGATACATCAAGAGATGTTCCTACTTACAATTCATTTTTATTTTAGAGCAAAGAAGTGATCCTGGTTTAAGACTGGACAACTACAGTTTGTCTGTGCTCGGCTCGGAAATCTTCTACTCTTGTTATATGATGGATTTGTTCGACACAAAAGATGTTCTACTGGTGATACTGAACACAGCATTCTTGTCGTTGAGCCAGTTTGTGAGTCATAAATGGAATGTATGTCTTGAACTTGAGGCAGGAGAGTACCTCTCTAAAGTTGGCATGCCTGGAAAAGCAGCAGAAATTGTTCTTGGTAGATATTGAGTTTTATGTTAATATCAGTTTTTTCTGTAATGAGTAATTGAAGTGTCTGCATTATTAACCATTATTGGCTAATTGATTTTTGTGTTCTTTTTGTCCAAATGGCTTTCAACTGTGCATAGTTACTGACTAAGAAGCAAGCAGGCACCTGAGTTATACAATTGCTTCCTATCAAAGACTCCATGGTTCCTGGTGGGATTCAAACCCACATCACTGATTAAGAAGCAAGTGGTTTGAAGTAAATAAAGGTTGAAATGTTGAGGAAAAGAAATTAAATCTCATCCTTAAAATTTATTTTATCTGTAATAATACTATAAATATATGTTACAGAAAGCTATAAATCTTTGGTTTAGGCCTGCACTTCCAAATAATAAATGTTTATATCAGTTGTCATATACAATTTTGTGTAGGAGTCCCCATGAGAAGAATGTTTCGGATTATTTCTTATGTTTCAGCATTTCCGTCAACAAGTTTGGAATTTCTTGGAGCTAAAGATAGACTAAATACTCTTGTACAATTATTAATAGAACAGCTATGTATGGAGGAGAATTTCTCATTGGCCTTTCAGTTGTTTTGTTTGGCATTCAGTTGGAAGGAGAGAGGTACTTTTGTATATCAGGACTTTAATTACAGTAAAATTTTAAAATATTAATGCACTAGACCTACTAAATAATATGTTTTAGCAAATTAATTGTTTTTTACAAGTATCTATTACGAAGTTTTGTGTATGACTGGATAGACTAATAGTAAATTAACTGTATTTAATGCAAAGACAACATATATTTTAGAAGTAATTGTCCGTATAAGCAGGTATGGAAACCACTTACAAAATGTTTTGAGAGTCAAAGCAGATTTCAACAAAATTTGTAAGTGCGAAGGTGTTGATTTCAGTATAGGTTCGGAAATGTAACATCCATTCATTGGCAAAAAGCATGTACATTTGTGCAAGGAAATATATGAAAATTTTAAGTGTGCTATTAAATCATGCACGGCTGTCTGTTAAAATGTGCAGGAATGTTGTCAAGAAGGCATTTGATCAATATATCATTTTTATACTCGTAGATAGATTGATATGGTTATAATTTCCATTCTAACAAGAAGTTGATGTCTGTATAGGTTCGGAAAGGAAACAATTCTAAAACTTTTTTTTTGCAGGCTTGAGAACGATTGCATCAGATTTTATAAAAAGTTGTTTACAAGCTGAGTTTGTGGTCATACCTGTACAGATTTATGAGTTATATATAGCCGATAATGCCGAGTTTGATATTCGAGAGGCAGTTAAACGTAGCTTGCTCAATGCCCTTGTGGAGAACAAAAATGAGCTCCGGAAAAATTTGTACCGGGACATGAAACAAAGCTCGGTTTTATTTGCGGAGCCGAGTTACGAAAAACCTCGCTGTATTTGTATACAGTCTATACACACTTGTAATGAAGTGAAGGCGATCATTGAGTGTTACTTGATTGACTTGTATGATTTATTCTGTGATCTGTTTGTCATGAATTCCCGATTGAGTAGTGAGGAGCTGTTACTAGATGTGACAATAATTAAGATGGCATCACAAGTACATCCAGTAGGGGTAAGTAATGTTAAAAATTACACAATTTAAACAGATATACATTTTGATAATAATAATAATAGAAAAAAGATTTAAAAATTTACTATTAGAAAAAATTAACATAGAATTATTTTTGTAAGGTTGAGGACTTAACCTCTCACTGCTGTCAGGTGTTTGATTCCACTTTAAAGCCAGTAAAGAAACTACATGTGGTTTTATCTATATAACTGGTTGTCCTTGGAATGAGGTACCTGGCCTCAAGGACATTCAACTTTTTTCTGAACCCTGTCTCAAATCTTAGGTTTTTATTGTGCCCCCACTTTAGTGCGGGCATTTAGATTCACCCTTGTCCGTCTGTCCGTTCTCTTTTGTGTCGCACGTAACTCAAAAAGTATTTGGCCTAGAGTCATGAAACTTTACGGGAATGTTGATCAGCATATGTAGTTGTGCACCTGGGTATTTTTGTCTGGATATATTTAGTATTTTTAGAGTTATTGCCTTTGACTTAGTAAAATTTTGCAATTTTCAACTTGTGTTGCATGTAACTCGAAAAGTATTTGACCTAGTCATGAAACTTTACAGGAATGTTGATCAGCATGTGTAGTTGTGCACCTGGGTATTTTCGTCTGGATATTTTTAGTATTTTTAGAGTTATTGCCCTTGACTTAGTAAAATTTTGCAATTTTCAACTTGTGTCGCATGCAACTCAAAAAGTATTTGACCTAGAGTCATGAAACTTTACAGGAATGTTGATCAGCATATGTAGTTGTGCAACTGGGTATTTTCGTGTGGATTTATTTAGTATTTTTAGAGTTATTGCCCTTGACTTAGTAAAATTTTGCAATTTTCAACTTGTGTTGCATGTAACTCAAAAAGTATTTGACCTAGTCATGAAACTTTACAGGAATGTTGATCAGCATGTGTAGTTGTGCACCTGGGTATTTTCGTCTGGATATTTTTAGTATTTTTAGAGTTATTGCCCTTGACTTAGTAAAATTTTGCAATTTTCAACTTGTTTCGCATGTAACTCAAAAAGTATTTGGCCTAGAGTCATGAAACTTTACAGGAATGTTGATCAGCATATGTAGTTGTGCAACTGGGTATTTTCGTGTAGATTTATTTAGTATTTTTAGAGTTATTGCCCTTGACTTAGTAAAATTTTGCAACTTTCAACTTGTGTCGCAAGTAAAATTTTGCAATTTTCAACTTGTGTCGCATGTAACTCAAAAAGTATTTGACCTAGAGTCAAGAAACTTTACAGGAATGTTGATCAGCATGTGTAGTTGTGCACCTGGGTATTTTCGTCTGGATATTTTTAGAGTTATTGCCCTTGACTTAGTAAAATATTTGCAATTTTCAACTTGTGTCGCATGTAACTCAAAAAGTATTTGACATAGAGTCATTAAACCTTATGGGAAGGTTGCCCAGCATATTTAGTTTTGCACCTGGGGTTTCGCTTGTGGATTTATCCAGTATTTGTAGAGTTATTTCCCTTGACTTAGTAAAAACCATTTCATTATGTTGTTATTTGTTCCTTGAGTGCTTGAGGTAGAAGCAACCAACTTTACAGGAATAATGATCAACATCACTAAATTACAGGAATAATGATTCACATCACTGTGAAGCTATGCACCTGGGACATTACATGTGGATTTTTTTCAGTTTTGTTAGATTTATTGCCCTTGACTTACAGTAGTATAAATTTGCAATTTTCAACTTGTTCATGCATAGCTCAAAAAGTATTTGACTTGTAGGCCTGAAAGTTTACAAGAATGTTGGTCAGCATGTGTACTTATGCACCTTGGGGTTTGCTTGTGGATTTATTCAGTATTTGTAAAGTTATTGCCCTTTACTTAGTAGATATTTTTAGTTTTCAAAAAATATTTGACCTAGTCATAAGATTGACAGAACAGTGGCGTGGTGGGGGCACCCGTGTCCTATGGACACATTTCTAGTTATTAAGTGTTCGCCCTGTGTGGGTTTCTGACCAATCAAATACCCTATATCAGAATTTGAGCTTAGAAAAATATATTTATAACATCAAGGCCTTGTGTCTTTTTCCAGCAGTATTTCTTGAATGTCATCTAACTTTGAAAACCAATCCCCACACAGAATATATTTGTATATGTTTTGTTTTATTTTACTTTGCCAGTTACCATATGTTGGTCAAGTACAGATGTCACCTTTACTAGTGAAAGTTATCTTGTTAACAGTATTTGGTATCCATAGTGATCTAAGAAACAACAATGGTAATGCCAAGGTGTCTCTTCACCCAGACTCTTTAGAGAAATATATGAAAAATTTGGATGTTAACAGTAAGTACACATAAACATCTAATAAACATTAGATGTAACATTATACATTTTTTAAAGGAATGGAGTAAGTAAGGGTCTTTTTAAATTCTGCATTTACGTTCTACATGAACAGAAAGTGTTGGCACAAGTAAAAAATTCAATGCTTTAACAGTACTTGTAAAATACTGGTCTTGTAAAAATTAGACATGACTATTTTCGAACTGTCCTAAAACCTATACTTTTCATGAAAATTTTGAAAATGTGTTTTTAAAAAAAGACATTGCGAAGTGAACAAAGAAAGAAATTTACTCATTGCAAAGGGCACTTAAAATGTACAAAAATTACCAAAAAAGGGTTAAAATATGCAAAAAAAATAGCCTGTGTCAGTCACACAAATAGCAATACGGTGATAAATACTGCAAAATCAGTCATTAATCACACACAACATGTAAAGTATTACATGAATCTTTAATCTTTTTACTTTTTATGAAATCTTAGTACATTTTTCTCAAGTTTGATTTTTATGCCCCCGCCATGTAATGGCCGGGGCATATAGTGTTACCCTGTTCCGTCCTTCCGTCCTTCCGTCATTCCGTCCTTCCGTCATTCCGTCCTTCCGTCATTCCGTCATTCTGTCATTCCGTCATCATCAGTTTCCGTTCATTATCTAAGTAACGGTTGCACACATTCAACTAAAATTTGACATATGGATATGTCATGAGAAAATACAGGTCAAGTTCGAATTTGGTCATGGTTCGATGATTTTTGGCAGAGTTATGCCCCTTTTACTTTAAAATAATATGAAATTTTCAGTTTCCGTTTATTGTCTCCCCAACGATACAACACATTCAACTCAAACTTGACATATGGATATGTCATGAGAAAAATACAGGTCAAGTTCGAATTTGGTCATGGTTCGATGATTTTTGGCAGAGTTATGCCCCTTTTACTTTGAAAAAATAATATGAAAATTTCAGTTTCCGTTCATTATCTCCCCAAAGGTACAACACATTCAACTCAAATTTGACATATGGATATGTCTTGAGAAAATACAGTTTAAGTTCGAATTTGGTCATGGTTCGATGATTTTTGGCAGAGTTATGCCCCTTTCACTTTGAAAATAATATGAAATTTTCAGTTTCCATTCATTATCTCCCCAACGGTACAACACATTCAACTCAAACTTGACATATGGATACATCAAAGGAATGCGCAGGTCAAGTTCAAATTTGGTCGTGGTTCAATAATTTTTGGCAGAGTTATGCCCCTTTCACTTTGAAAATAATATGAAATTTACAGTTTCTATTTATTATCTCCCCAACAGTGTTACATATTCAACTCAAATTTGACATATGGATATGTCAAAGGAATTGGCAGGTCAAGTTGGAATTTGGTCCTGGTTCGATGATTTTTTGGCAGAGTTATGTCCCTTTCACTTTGAAAATAATATAGATACATCTTAGGAATAAGCAGTTTAAGTTTGAATTTGGTCGTGGTTCAATGATTTTGGACAAACTTATCTTTCTTGAATGTTGGAAAAATTTTGAACTTTCAGTTTCAGCACTCATACTTTTGTGGAAAGTTTGAATTTGGTCTTGGTTCAATGATTTTGGACAAACTTATCTTTCTTGAATGTTGGAAAAATTTTGAACTTTCAGTTTCAGCACTCATACTTTTGTGGAAATGTATGTAGCCATTATTTTGGCTACAAATATGAAATATGCTATTTTCAAAAGGTTAAGACTAAATAATTTCAGTGCTTTGAACATTGTATGAAAATGGTTTGTGTTAACATTGAAAAGTTTTAAGGGCTTTGAACTGCAAATGAAAAAAATAATTTGTGCAAACAAATTTGGAACTAAATATTATAACATCTGAAATTTTGGCTGCATGCGGGGGCATCCGTGGCATGATGACACATTTCTAGTCTTGAAATATTTTGGCTCATCTGGAGTCATGCAGCTTTAAATTAATAAGGAACAACTAACATCCTTGAATTTCAAGTCCACTGTCTAAGTATAGCAGGATAAATATGGAACCGTTGTAGGTAAAATTTATATTAATTGTATTTACAGCACACAGTCTGTTTTCTTTCTTTATTCAGGTAAGAACATAGGCCTAGAATTTACTGCGTATTCCCAGTGTCAGAATGGAAAAAGGCTGAAAGTAAAGAGATGAATGGTGCACAATGGTAAAAGAATATTTTTAAGAAAACCAGCGCAATTCCTTTTTTGTTGTTCCTGGAAAAAATCATGTCAGTGTTTTATTTATGTTGAATTATTTCATAAAGATACAACTGCAGAATTGCATAAGGACCTGTTTTTCTAAATTTTCAAAGGAAGCCAGAGAAAACAGTCACGAAATCAGGAGATTAGATTTTGTATTCTCGTTCAAATATGACAGTAATAGGGCATCTTAAGGAAGAGAGATTTTATCCTTATGTCTACAGAACATTAACTAAACAGGACTGCATGAACTGTTAAGGATTATTATACATGTATCTATGTCAACCATAGTTACACTCTAGTAGCTTCTATGAAACTTTATATCAGTGACAGTGCCAGCATGACCTGTAACATTTTGCATGATCACTCTTGATTGTATTATAGCAGTTTTCATTTTCCTTGGTGTAGCCAATATTCACCATATGGATGATCATGCTTGGACAGTCCTCAGTTGGAACCTATGTCTGAGGTAATAAGGAAATTTTTCTTGCTCTAACTCAGATCTCAGGTATTTGATTAGTGAGAAACCAACACATTATGAAAATCCTGAGGTTTGAAACAGAGCTCTGAAAAAATGTTTTATAACCTCAAGGCCAGATCTATATAATTGTGTAATGGATAGCCTTAGCTTTGCAAAGATTTGTTTGCCCTTGTAAAATCAAGAATTTTGATATTTTTGCCCTGAATACTCATAAGTTAACTGTCTGGTGTTGTTGACAATTGGATCAAACTTGGGTTTATTCAATCTCCCTGTGATGGCACATGTTTAAGCAATAAATTGGAAGAAGACATTGTGCTTATTATAAGGCTATATATCCAAATCATCCTATAGGATAGATTTGGTATATAAACAACCCCACTTACCATACTGATCATTTTATTGTGGTATACGAACATGCCATTCTCTGCTGAAAGAAAAGAAATTTAGAGTTACTATAATCATTGTATGTACATTCCATTCAACTTGAAGTCATTCCATTTCATTACATATGTAAATAATGACTTGAGCTTGTCAGTATTTTAATAAATGATTATTCTACAGTATTATCTTGAAAAAACCTAGCCAGTATTACATTTGTATGTCATAGTCAATATTTATGTAGTTATTTTTTATATGGTAAAATATATTTGAAGTTAGTATTAAGTGCAGAAGAATTATACTTACTTGACATGAAATGATTGTTTTTGCACACACATGAAGATGGAGGGTTGGATGATGAACATTAGTCAACTTGTATTCTATTAATTTTAGGAGATACAAACATTAATTTTCTCACCATGTATAGGTTAGAGTTCATATTGGGTGTTCTTCGTAAATAAGAAAGCTAAAAAGGAGCGGAGCTTGCGAAGCGACTGTTGCTTTCTTATTTATGAAGAACATCCAATATGCACTCTTACCGGCTTAGTGCTCCGCCGACTTGCGTTTTATAATATAAAACGTCCAGTTTATATAAAATCTGTTCTATTAAGATTTGAAACCTGAAAATTTGAAAAATCCTCGCCGGTGATTGGCTTAAAAAAACTGGCGAGCACTAAGTTCAAGATAATTATACTCCTTCAGGAAAATAGTGCTTTCAACAGTTTTCTACATGTTACTACTTAGAAATAGACTCTCATGAAATCCATGAATTTATAAGGTATATTGGGAGAAGTTTATTTGGTATATTGTTTAACCTTAGTGGATGCCATTCTTTTATTGAAGGGGTTAGGAATTGATGGAGTAAAAATTTGGTTCAATTTTTCACTATAGGTTGTTCATGTGTATTTTAGCTGTGTTTTAGCAGCAACAGAGAGATTCCACCAATATCATCACTAATATTCTTATGTATACAAAACAACCAAAGATATGTGCAAATTTGTTGTTAATTTTATTTTTGGGCTTTTTTAAAAAAAATTGTTTTGTTTGGTTTAATTTTTTTTGTATATATGGTTTAGGTTTATCTTTTGGACCATTTTAATTTTTTGTATCATGACTATTATATGACTAAAGACAATCTATCTTATTTTCTGCTGTACATATTTTGCTGTTTTTTCTCCCAAAGTATCTTTGGTTTATTAGTCTTAATGTTATTGTTTTAATTGTTTGGGTTACTGTAGTTATGTAGAATGTAGCATGTTAAATTTTTGAGAAAATGTTTGATAAAATTTAAGAATTCCAATAGTTGTAATTTGAGAATTCTCAGGACTGTAATTTAAGGATTCTCATAGTTATAATTTAAGGATTTTTGAGGTAGTAATTTAAGGATTCTCATGGTTGTAATTGAGGACACTCATGGTTGTAATTTTAAGATCCTCATGGTTGTAATTTAAAGATCCTCATTGATGTAATTTAAAGATCCTCATGGTTGTGATTTTAAGATCCTTATGATTGTAATTTAAAGATCCTCATGGTTGTAATTTAAGGATTTTCAAGGTTGTAATTTAAAGATCCTCATGGTTGTAATTTAAAGATCTTTATGATTGTATTTTAAAGATCCTCATGGTTGTAATTTAAAGATCCTTATGATTGTAATTTAAAAATCCTCATGGTTGTAATTTAAGGATTTTCGAGGTTGTAATTTAAAGATTCTTATGATTGTAACTTAAAGATCCTCATGGTTGTAATTTAAGGATTCTCATGGTTGTAGTTAAAAGAATCTCATAGTTGAAGTTATTATGGTTGTAGTTTTAGGATTCTAATAGATGTAATTTAAGGATTCTTATAGGTGAAATTACAAGACCTCATGGTTGTAATTTAAGGATTCTCATGATTGTAGTTAGAAGAATCTCATAGTTGAAGTTATTATGGTTGTAGTTTAAGGATTCGAAGTTATTATGGTTGTAGTTTAAGGATTCTAATAGATGTAATTTAAGGATTCTCATAGGTGAAATTACAAGACCTCATTGTTGTAATTTAAGGATTCTCATGATTGTAGTTAGAAGAATCTCATAGTTGAAGTTATTATGGTTGTAGTTTAAGGATTCTAATAGATGTAATTTAAGGATTCTCATAGGTGAAATTACAAGACCTCATTGTTGTAATTTAAGGATTCTGATAGTTGTAATTTGACTTTTCCAGTAGTTGTAATTTAGAATCATATCTAAATGATTATAATAATTCTTCATTTTGGATCTTTAAAAAAAAACATTATTGAACTTTATATTGGTTAATTGGATCTAAGGAAAAATTTGATAAATCTCAAATTGATGTCTGGCAAAAACTTAATCCCTTTGGCTGCTCTTATGAACATCTGGATAAATTTCAATGTTTGATCTCATAAAAAATATTATAAATTTTTTAAAATTGGATGAAGGGTTAAAACTTCATAAATTTCTATTTTGGATTTCAGGTAAAATGTAATACCATTAAATATGTTTGTTTTGGATCTCAGGAAAAATATATATTTGCATATCTGATCTCATGTAAATTTGAACTTAAAGGATCTCGTTTATAATTGATGGCATTTTTAATACTCCATAGATTACTTGACAATTCACAAATTCTGAGGATGTAATAAACTTTGTTTTAATGTATAAATCTCAAAAAATGGTTCCATATTGTCAAATTCTCTGTAAATAATTCCATTATCTCATAATTTGCAGGGTACAATATTTTTTTTTAGAAACCATCTTTATATCACTGGATCTCATTGTTATATGATATTATTTCTCATTTGCAAACTTTTGGATTATCATATTAAATATGATATCTTTAGGTTAATATATGACATTTTTAATAAATACTTAATTTGTAAGGTTTCAAATTTAAATCGGTTTTCAATAAATTGTATTCTTTTAGTGTTGGTGAGAAATTTCTGTATAGATTTTTCATGTTGAATTCTGCTTAAGCTAGTGCTAAGGGGGTGTTTACATCAACTTGCATTTTCCAGTACTGTCCGTAATTTTTTTTTTTACCAAAAATACTTTATTGTTCATTGCTTTTACAATTAAAGCTATTAAATAGATGAGACAAAGTATTAATGATAAATGACAGAAAAAAAATAATTCTTCTTTATATTTATACTTGATGATTAAGTATTTTTTGTTTTAATACATTTAACATTTTTGGATATACTGTTTTTAGTTATTGTTTAAATGTGTGTAACAGTTAAGAAAACTGAACACAAATTTCATGTTTTTTTGTTGTTGTTTTTTTTGTTAATAAATGAAAATTTGTATAAAAAGATTCATATTTTTTTAAATGCAGTATTTACTAGCGCATTAGACTCTTTGTGTATAAGTTGGGTCTAAACTTCATGTAAATTTTCATTATATGTCTGTGACTACCATATAAGACTATTTTGTCCCACAATGTTTTTCTTGATGTTATCATTATCAGATGCTGGATAGATTGAATCATGTTTTAAAGAATTGAATCAAATCTTGTAGAAATGTTATCAAAAAAATCTTGTTCATTTTCCAGTTACAAAGTTACAAGAGTGTTTTCCTTTTGAAATAAAGTGCATTTATTTGTATAATTATGAAATATATGTTTTGTTTTATATGTAAATAATGTAACAATATGCGTGTTTTAAGTACATTTGTATTTGTAAAATTGTGCCATCTAAATCAGTTTTTAAGGGTGTAAAACTATAATATTGAGTTCGCCTCATTTGGCAGAATGATTGTAAGAATAAGAATCATTCTAAGGTTTTTATATTGATATAATAAGGTTATTAGACTAAACTATAGTGAAACATGGCAGTGCATGCGCAAATTCCTACCAAAAATAACCATGAAATATTATGTTGGAGAAAAAATTAATCTGTTTAATTGTAATTTATGTATTAAATAATAGAAACACTTGTGAAGTTTTTCTGAAAATTGAGAGTATGATACTAAAATGATAGTTTTATACCTCAATTTTTTTCTAGAATATTTTCTTTGTTATAGCTTTACATCCTTTCAATGCCAGGATAATTCAGAAAGAAGAACTCCTTGAGAGGGTTGCAAGTCTAAGTATCGGGGTATTTCAAGTTTTTGTTGTATTTTTGTGACAATTTGATTCAAACACAGTGTATCATTTTTATCCACCACTGGTTGGGAAAAGTTGTTAGTGACTAACAGCTGAAAGTCCCTGGACTAGCGAACCTTTGGATATAAGTAAGACAACAGCATGTGGTTGAATGTTTAAAAAGCAAAAAATACTGTCAACTTATCAGCATCATACTGCTTAATTTTTGTATTGATGTTGAAGTCCCTCCAACTTTGAATGGATTGTTTCAATATCAGAGCAGGCCAAATGCATTACAAAAATTCAGCTTTATGCTGTGGGTAGCTCAATTTTTGTATTGATGTTGAAATCCCTTCAACTTCGAATGGATTGTTTCAATGTCAAAGCAGGCCAAAGCCATGACAAAAATTAAGCTTTATGCTGTGGGTAGTTCAATTTTTGAATTGATACTGAAATTCCTTCAATATTGATCAAAGGTGGCCAAATCCATTAGTCTAATTCAGCATGTTAAGGTTTAATTGTTAGATATAGTACTGTTTGAAATATGATTTTGATAAGAACATTCTCATTGTCTCACATATATTTTTTATATGAATATAATATGTACTTGTTAATTAAGTTCAAAATCATTAAAGTCAATTTTGATATTTTAAACTGTTTAATACATGTATGCCACTGCCTTTTTTCCTCATTGTTTTGTTAGTTTCTTTGAGAGTTTACATTAAAAAATGTAAAAAAAAAAGAAAAAATATCTTACTTATGGATCACCTAATATATAATTTTCATGCTTCCCGAAGGGTGAGCATACAGTCTCCACTTGTCTGTCCATACGTCCTCTTTTCTTCTCCAGGACATAACTTTGTATAGGTCATATGACAACTTCCCAGCTTTACTGGTGGAGGATACCCCAGGTGCCAAACTGCATTATTGCAGACACCCGAGGAGAACTTGTCACATAACAAACAAGCTTGTGTAACATTGTGGGGACATTGGCTATGACCATTTGATGACCCCTATTGAATTTGAGGTCAGGGTCACAGTGAAACTCCTTGTCCAATCAATTACTTGAAAAGGAATAAATCTAAATTTGTTAAACTTGGTAGGGACATTATGGCCAGGAGATGATCTCTATTGATTTTGAGGTCATAAGGTCAAAATGACACTGTAAAACCCTTGTGTAATCAAGGGACATATTTCTAAAAAAAAATTGTTTTCAAAAAATTAATAAACTCATTCTTTGCTAAGAATTGGCAATTCTCAGAGAGTTTCCTCCACTAGGGTACAGTAGAATGACACTGTATTACATATTTGTCAATTTGTCACAGTAATGAAATGATATATAATTAAAATACATGTATGTAAATTAATATTATGCCATGCACTGGTCACATGAAAACTTTGATCATATTTCTGTGTTATGTTAATATACAAGTATTTGTATTTAAATGTTAGGATGAAAGGGTGACTTTTGAAATCTCTTGGACATCACTGCCCTGACAGAACTCGTTTTGGATAAAAAAAATTGAGAAACTACAACAATATACATGTACTCTCACAATATATTCATATAAGTAACATAATGTATATAAACATCATCAACAAAACATAAACATTGACTATAATTATCCTTGACAAAGTTTCCTTTTCTTGAAGAAGTTCCCTCATTGACATTGAGCAAGCATTCCTAGTTTACAGTGAACACATTTGACAATTTTTGTGAAATGGACTTTTATAACAGTCAACAAAATGATGCGAAAATTGAAGCTTGGAGTGCTCTGTTATACAAACAAAGATTAGTCAAAACCCAATCCAATGCCCTACAAAAATTTATTACAAATAATTCATATTAAATTTTACAAATGAATCACAAATGTTTATTATGCCCCCATTTCGAAGAAAAGGGGGTATATTGCTTTGCACTTGTCGGTCCGTCGGTCTGTCGGTCCGTCGGTCCGTAGACCAAATGGTTTCCGAGTGATAACTAAAGAACCCTTAGGCCTAGGAACTTCAAACTTGGTATGGTGATTGGTCATGACCAGTAGATGACCCCTATTGATTTTGGGGTCAAGGGGTCAAAGGTCAAGGTCACATTGACCTTGTAAGCAAAAACGGTTTCCGATCAATAACTAAAGAACCTTAAGGCCTAGGAACTTCAAACTTGGTATGGTGATTGGTCATGATCAATAGATGACCCCTATCGATTTTGGGGTCAAGGGG